TCAAGCATAAAGCACATTTTAACTTTAGCTAGATTCTAAGATAGACTACTGTCAGTTTATGGGCAACACTCAAGTTATACCACAAACCAATAGTTCAGTGAAGAGAAGCCCTATATGCATAGTTGATGAATTAGTAGGCTTATGTTATCATAGATGTCCTGGAAATGAATTAGAAAGGAAATAATGCAGACCTTTTACAGTTATTTTGTGTTTAATTCCTTTAAGTTACACACTTGAGAAACTGTGGGAAATACAGTTCTTTATTACAGTTTTAAAGCAATATTTCTTCACATAAAGCTTAGAAACCTCAGATTCTGTATTTCTGGGCCCCACACCTAAGACGTTCAGAAAAATAGATATGACACATTGATAAAAAAAAAATATGTATTTGCAGAGTGTTCTGCTGATTCTTTTAGTTGGAAGACAGGGAGACGTGGATTCCTTAGTCATTGATTTGAGAAGCAAAGGTGCTGGATCTGTAACAAAAGAGCTTTTCTTTCAGTTAATACTTAGGCATTTGAGTTAAATGAAGCTCATACAATAATTATTATCATCCCCTTGATGCTGGCATGTCTCTTCTAAATAGAAGTCAGGTAGATGAAGCGCCTGCGTTTCAGACTTGATAATAAAATGTATTCAAATAACTTTGTATGCTAAAATGTCTTGTACTGTTGCATGTCTAAATACCCAGAATATTCTAAAAGTATACATGAAAATAAAATAAATAGAAGAACATATAGGTTTTAAAATCTAATATTTTTCAACTCCAGAGTACTCTAAATTTAATTTGCCAACAAAACCATAATTAGATTCCATTTGAGTATATAAATAATACTGATACACAAGCAAGCTAAGTGTAACACATCTGGGAATCCTGTTGTGTATATATCTCCAGAATCTCATTCTCATCCAGAATCTCTCATTCTTCTAGTTGGCAGTTGGAGATCTCTGTTTTAAAAGTTATCTTAGATCCAGAAAGAAGACAGCAGTGATGCTGTTAGTAAAAACAGTGGCATGTTTTACCAGTACTTCAGCTAGCTCATTTAGAGCTAATTTGGGGATCTATATATTGCACTGTAGTGTCTCCAATTCTGTGTCTACCTTTAGAGCAGCAGGAAATACACTTTTAGTTTCTATAAAAGAAAAGAAAATTTTCACTAAGATATATGATAAAGTTATTTCTCGTTTTATGTTCCTCATTATACTTAAGTATTCCAATTAATTTAACCCTCTTTTACCAGTTTCAAATGCAGTTATATTAATGATTAAATTACTTACAAGTATCTTACATCTATAGTTACTGTTCTGTTAAATACTATAGAGTATATTTAATATCTAATTTAAAAGAAATCTGATTTCATGGAATAGAGTGGTTTGAGTGGAATGATTACCGTATGTGCTCACATACCATGCACACCCTTTTCTCCAAAAAATCAGCCCTCTAAAATTGGGGTGCATGGCATAAGTGGGGAGGCAGATTTTTCTTCACTGGAATAGAAGAATAGAGTAGAAACATAGAGACACTGTGCTCTAATGGCTGCCAAGATGGCTATGTTTCTTTCCAGTCCAGGAAGTAGAAGGGGCGGAGTCTAGTGCTAACCCTCTCACAGCTGCTAATGAATTTGCAGTAACTATTGGCTGAGCACTGTAGCTTGTGGCTGAAGTAGCAGTTGAGCTGGCTCAGGTCAAATGTGTTGCTGCATTCAGTCAATTATACCTTGATGAGGCTTGTGGTGTAGAAACAAAACTTAATTATTTACAAGAACTTTTTACAAAGAACTATTTTCAGTAAAGAAGTAAAGGTCTTCCTTTTGCCCTTGCAAGGGCCTGTGGCCTAAACTTATTGCTGTACTGCCACACCAGGACATTCCTACTGTCTTACCCAGACAGTCTCCAGGGATGCCACGCTTCCTGGATATTCTGTGTTTCCAGGAAAACTGTCACACAGTTAGTGATGACTATGAAAAAATCTTTTTTTCTACATTCTGCCTTCCAAAAACAAGGTGCGCTCTTTTTGGGGGCATGTGATATATGAGAAAATAGTGTGTGTGTGTGTGTGTGCATATCTATATATATCCATATGTCCATATATATATACTATGTTAATGCATAGCATAGCATACACACACACACATACACACACACTTATATATTATGTGAACACATAGCGTTGTATAACATAGCATAGTATATTCCTTTGCATATACTGTTCAAAGTGTAGCTTATTTGTAAAGTATTCTTCTGCTTTCTTAATGGCTGGTAAGAATAGGGGATTTTGAACTTGGTGTCTTCAAATTACAGTTCATGGTTATGAATACAATGTTTTCATCTGTAAAATGCCTCTCAGAATGTTTTCTGAAGAGAAGTTTTTGCTTGTAAAAGCCCCCATCCATATTTGTTAATGAATAGTGCAATCTGGAATTCAATCGTAATTTTGCAGGTAGGCAGGCAAGAAATTCCAAAGGAAAAGTATGAGCACAGTCCAATAATAAAAGCTGAATTTTATATGAGCATTCTAATATTAGGTTTGGTCTTCCTGATAGTTAATCTTGAAAACTCTTTGAATGCTAAGAAAGGTATCATCTTGAAGACATGATGCAAAATTTACACTATAAGGTTTGTGTACAAGAAGCATAAAACTTCTTATTTTACCATATGTAAGGTCCATAATGGTACCAGTAATAGAGGCAAGGATTTTTGTGGGCGTTATCTTTTACCGGATCAGCTGCATAGTTGGTGGAGATTTAAACAAACTATGCTGTTGGTCCAACAAAGAAATAACCTATAAAACCCTTGCCTCTTGCATTTTTCTTGGACCATCACAGCTACAACATCACTCCAACACTACCAGTAACAGGCACTGTTTACAGTGGAGATAATAAGAACAATTTAAAATACATTAGGCTATAAAAGATTAAGAAATAGAAAAATAAATATTCATCTTCCTAGAGAACAACTGAATTGCATGCTTCGTTTATAGTCTTATTTATTAAATCATTTATCTAATGCATGTGCACATCTTAATTAAATTTATTTTGACATGGACTCAAACCAGAAAAGAATTAAAAATCAGCTATGAACAATGTGCTAGATGTCTACTGAGTTACAATCTTGTCATGGATTAGGGCCTCATATAGATATTCAGTTTTTCATGGGAAAGTCAACGTTCAGGCTTTTTCTCCCAGAATAAAAATGCCCACTCCAGGGAGATCCAATGCCTGTACATGCCGTGGCTTCTCTTAAAAGAGAGTGTAGTTCTCCTGTGCCCTCTTGCCCCTAAGGGAGACAGTGTGTCACTTAATGGATTCTGCTGCTCCAGCACAGACCAGACATGCCTTCTTCAGAATCCCTGTGTTGTGCTTCAGGGAAACAGACTGACTATGGGCAGTCTGGGTCAGCAAGTCAACACTGTCCAATGCATTGCTGTCACATGTCACCAGGCAGACTAAGGGAGTCTTCTGCCAAGCATTCTGAGATGTCTGCACAGGGCTCCCCTTAGCTATACAGTGTTAGCACTGCAAGCTCTCCTCCCTTCAGGGCCTTAGCAATCCAATGTCTGTATACATGGCTCTGGGTAGGTTTTTCTACAGGGAGAGCTAACCTGGGAGAATTCTCTGAGATTATTCGAAAGCGTTTACACAGCCTAGAACTAAGGTTTCATAGACAAATTCATATGACCTGGGAGAATTCTCCTGGGTTTGTTCTCATGGTAGAAAAAACTTACCTAGAGACACTCAAATGCTGAGCCCTTGCAGAGCAGAGAGCTTGTCATGTTGATGCTATACAGCCGGGGGCCCCTGTGCATACATCTCAGCATGCTCTGCAGGCTTCCTTAGTCTGCCTGGTAGCCCTGATTGGCAGTGTGGGATTGTGAAGGGGGCATATTCTGCTCCCTACTGGACTGGAGAAGTAGAGTCCAGCCTGAGTAACACACTGTTTCTGTGGTGCAGGGAGTCAGGGGGAGGGGAGCAAAACACCCTGGGATGCTGGATCACTTCAACTTTGGCTTCTCTCAGAAGGGAAGTTGCACATAAATTTACTCTCCTGAGAGAAACTTTCCCAGGAGTTATGTAACTGGTAGTTCCCAGCTTATTTTTCTCTTGGGGTGGCTATTTTTGCTCTGGGAGAAAAATCCTGAACATCTGTACAATTCTGGTTTCTCCTGGGAGAGTTGCTGCTCCAGAGAAACTGAATGTCTATATGTGGCCTAAATCTTGATGGTTCTCTAGATTTACAAGAAATAATGGCCACAAGCTAGCAGAGAGCAGATTTAGATTGGACATTAGGAAGAACTTCTTCACATTTAGAGTGGCCAGGGTCTGGAACGGGCTCCCAAGGGAGGTGGTGCTCTCCCCTACCCTGGGGGTCTTCAAGAGGAGGTTAGATGAGTATCTAGCTGGGGTCATCTAGACCCAGCACTCTTTCCTGCTTATGCAGGGGGTCGGACTCGATGATCTATTGAGGTCCCTTCCGACCCTAACATCTATGAATCTATGAATCTATGAGATTTAGAATATGGCTGACCAATACCAAATGATATACAAGACTAGCACTTAGCTTGTAATGATGTGAAAGGACAAAAATCAAGACCAGGGGGTGGGATACAGTAAATGGCACTTGTTAATGGAGAAAATGGCTCAAAAATGTTAGCTAGGGATTTCAATTATGTCAATGGTTTTATGCTATCACCTCCCTGTCTTTTTTTTTCTCCCTATTTTCTCCAGTGTGAACTTTGGAAAGGGAGTATTACATGATAAGAATGCAATGTGGACTAATGATTCATGTCTGGCAGTTATTGTGTAAGGGGATGCTCTTTAGATATTGCAATTTAAAACAGCCTTAGATTTATCCTTGGGTTGTTTCAGCTCCTAACATGGTATTTTGTATTATAACAAAAATGAGATTGGTTTGATATACTCTAGTTTTCTATAATTCCTTTTATTGTAAGCATTTTCTTACTGAGAAGTAAAAGACATTTTATGACTTTTTTGTTTGGACAGGCAGCCAGGAAAATCCCCCAAAAGGAAAGAACTTTTGTTTAACATTATATCAACTCAGATGTCTTTCTCAGCTTACAAAACTCTTTTTGTTGCTGGAAGAGAAAATTGAAGAACTCTTTGAAGAAATTCTGTTGTTACCTTGTTTCACCGAGAAGAATAAAAAAGTTCAAGGTAATATATAATTTTTCTCATGTACAGTTTTCTTTCCAGTTTGAGAAAAAAAGATCATGTTGTATTTCTTCCTAGAAGATGTAGGTTATCAGGACTCTGAATGATATCGTCTTCCACAATATAAACACATTTCTTATGACTTTTGATTAAAGTTGTACTTGTAGCTAAAAGATTTTTTTTTTTAAAGACAGAGGTCCTCCTAAGCCTGGTAGCCCAAAGAGCTATCATGATTTAGGCATATCAAATGGCTAGGTACCCATTTGCAGCTAGGTCAACTGGAGGTGACCTCAGGAAGAAGTTGGGGTGGTTATAAATTCATACGTATTGGGTGCATCTACATATGCAATTAATACAACAAAATAAACTCCGGTGCAGTTCACACTGGAGTTCATTTCTTACAGGCTCAGCATCTGCACACACACCCAGGACTGTAGCACTTTGAGCTGGGGTGGAGCAGCCTGGCCCAGGGTGCTAGCCACAGGCTCCAGGTGGTGGCATCAGGCATCAGAGGGCTGGCTGGGACACAAGGGTGCTAAAGTGCAGGGCTAGGCAACAGGCAGCCCCTACACTTTAGCACCGTCATGCCCCAGCCAGCCCCTGTCACCATCTACACATGCACTTTAGTGCAGGTACGTACTCCACCATAAGATAGTACTGTGTCTGATAGTACAGTACTCTGATAGTACTATCTTATGGGAGACTTAATTAATTTATTGCACCTTAATACCTGCACACGTGTAGATGGTGATGTGTTACTGTGGAGCTAATTAGTTCAACTACAGTAAAGCGCTCATGTAGATGCACCCATTGAGTCATATATGAGATGCCTTAACTGTGGCCTGCAGCTATGCTCCACTTAAGATTTAATGTATAGAAATGATTTCTCTTAATAGGAAAACATGGTTTTTTCAAATCAGAAATTTATCCACATATTATATGTAACAAAATAAATGAATGTGAAACTTTTGTAATGTTAATATTTGTGAGCATGCTCTGTGAAGGCTGCAATTCTTGTATTAAATGGGAAAAGCATTGAACTTTGAACATCAATTTTAGGTCAATTTAATATTTAGTTTAAAATATTTTCATGGAAATGTGCCTTGTTTTAACTAAGAACCTGCTTGTGCAAATGCAGTTGTGCACAGTGCTTATTAGTATGAGTTGTTCCATTGACTTTAGTGGGGCTACTCACTGTAATGTACACTTTTCCAGAAATAAATGTTTGTTTATTTTATGGATTATGTCATTATTTCAAATGAAGAAAACATGCAACCATGAAAGCTGAGTACTGGGAGGATGATAGCCTGACAGCTAAGAAATGGTGTGCATATATATTTACCCAGCTTTTTTACCCAGTGCAATTAAATGAAGACACCAGAGAACAGGTAGTCTCAAGAGCTTTGATTATATTGCAGGAAAATATTTCATTAGAAATGAGGCCAGACTGCATAGGGGGAGAGGACTGGTGGAGTCAAGTACTGCTATCTCTCTAGCCCAGCTGCAGGCTCGAAAGAAAGCTGTTCTGGGAGTTTGATCTAAGAATACAAAGATGAAGAGATAGGTGAAGTTGAAAGAGTTCAGAGGCATATGTTTTGTTAATGGAGTGTGGATTGTGCATTTCTTCTCTGAAATTTGTGGATGTCATGTCATTCAAATAAAGAAATAAAAGTTATTTTTGTTAAAATAACATGAAATAAATCTGAGACTGGTCTGAACACACCCAATAGAGATATATCATGGTAGACCCTTATGACCCTTCAGAGATGTTAATGAAATTTTGCATGGAAGATAAAGGTTTGTCAGACCATATTTGTTAGGAGCCTCATTAACTGAATTAATCACAGGTGCTGTTTTTATTTCTGTTTTTTTTAATAGATGTGTAATTAAATGAAAACTCTCCAAAAATAGTAAACACCATGTGCAATGTAATTTGCACAGAAATGTGTAGCTATTTAGAGTAATATATACCTTGATAGAGGGAATATTAAGAAAGAAATGCTGTTTTCCATGAAGCACATGATCTTGTGAACAATTAGGCATAAGATTAATTTAATGCATAAGTGTGTAAGATTGTTTTAAGCTTTCTTTGTTTTGAATTATACTGCTGTTTTGCATTCATTCTACTCTACATGCAGTGTCAGATTGTGTCCTAAGTTGGGGCTATACTTTCCAGATCTGATCTGAAGAATATAATTAAATCAGCTGCTAAGGCAGTATTCTGGGTTGTGGGAGGTTCGACAGGAAGTTCCAAAGGGAGTACAGAATTATACCCCTTAACAAGTAGGATGATAAGTCTATTACAGTTTAGGGTATTATGACTGGCAAACCCTTCTTCATTTCAGACTTGCTATTCTTGGGGAGGAGATCTCAATTTATTCAGAAAACCTTGCTGGAATACATCCAGTTTTTAGGTGGAATTGTGGACTGCAGGCATAGTTAGAGAAATAAGAAAAAAATGCTTGATAAAATTATTTACCGGTCGTATTTTTTAGAAATCTGAGCTGTAATGGCAAAATAAAAGATGTTTTGATAGGGGAAATGAGAAGTATATTCCCAGTTGTTTCAGCTTTTCTGTCAAGAACCAGAAGAGAATTCATTTTTTTTGTTAGCATCCTATATTTTCCTGATAATCATGATTATTTGCTCACTGATAAAGCCTGTTTCTGGATCAGAATAAATTGATTAATCACATTTGACTAGTGTCTTTGATTGTACTGGCAGATGTGGTGTACCTGATTGTGGTGTAGGTGCTAACAAAAATAAGAGCCTTCTTATATATTTATTTAGAAGTATTGGCTTATTAGAGGACTTATAGTGCAATACAGAAATGACTGTGGTATAGTGTTGACATACTGAGCTAGCTCAGGTATTGGTAGTAGTCTAGCAGCACAGAACTCAACATGCGCTGAAAAAACTTGCTGAGAACCAGAGTAGGGTAGCTCTCACTGAGTTCTGCGGTGCTGCGGTTAGACTACCACTGTGAAGGCAGTGTAGGCATCAGAAGCATAGCAGGGTAGAGCTCTGCGCCTGGGGCAGCCATGACACATGGGTCAGCTGTCACTGCATTAGCAGCTGCCTTTGTACCCCCTCACAAAGGTAGCCCTGGGGCTCCTGCCCCAATTGCTCCCCCTGCAGTTGCATTACAGGTAAGCATACCCTAAGGGTTAACTCAGTTTACCCTAGTACTGTGAATAAGTTAAGAGGAACTATCAATACATAATAAATAAGCTTTGTTTCCCAATGATATGGTGTTTTCCCAGACATCAAATAGAATAAGGTCCTGCCCTTGTTTCATTTTCTTCTTGGCTATTTTGAGTATTTATTACAGGTCCTTATTAGACTTCTGTTTCATGCCAAAAAATGACAGAAAATGTGGCTGTTTACAATGACAAGTTTAGCTGTTCTTTGTTCAGCGTTAACATGTGGAGACTTGAGGCTTGATATATAGAACATTTGTAAAGTTCCATCAGAAATAAAGTACTTCTTTGGACAGTTCTTCATTTTTTTTGCCAAAGCTGATATTTGAATTGTGTCTAAACCGGGAGGATTCTTGGCCCTCATTTTTCCCTAGACCCAGCAATGACAAAGAGCAATGACTGCATAAATTGGATGTAAGAGGAACACTTAGGGTTTATCACAGAAGAATCAAAGATTTCATATCTTCTGACAGATTGTTTGTACTCTTAGGGGGTCTTAAGAGGGGTCAAATGGCTTCTAAGAGTTCCTTAGCTAGATGGTTAAGGGATTGTATTAGGGAGGCGTATGTAGTTAAGGGTAAAGAGGCTCCCAGGGTTTGTAAAGCTCATTACACTAGGACTATAGCTGCTTCTTGGGCGGAGAGGTCGAAGGCTTCCACATTGGAAATTTGCAAGGTGGCCACCTGGGCTTCTCTTCATACTTTTTCATAGCATTATCGCTTGGATGTAGTCTCTTCTGCAGATTCTGCTTTTGGTAGGAGGTTGCTTGTGAACCAAAAAAAGAACAGTGAAGAAAAGAAAGACATGCAGTTCACACTTCTAGCTGCCAACAAGACAGTTTCTTTGCAGCATGCACAATGGAATCCTGCGAAGACCAATTTAGGCAGTTGAAAATAGATGTTACAGGGAAGTACTGCCTACCACTGTTTTCTGAGTAACTCCCATGGCAGGTAATAGCACCAGAGGACACACTGAACCAAAGTAACACTCCAGGGAGGTGGATGTAGCAGTTGCTCTGAGGTGATCTGGACAGTTCTGTGAATTGATTTTGAGAGTTCTGCATCTGGAATCCTCTGGATTCAGCCCCCAGACTGTTTCATGTAGATCAGGGGTGTCAAAATCCCTTGGCTCCTGAGGCTTGATCCAGACACTGGGGCTCCTTGTGGGCCAGATCCAGAACCCACCTTTGGTGGTGGGTTGATTGTCAGCAGCCCTAACCACTGTGGGTTCCTGAGCCATATGGACTAACATGCCTGTAATTTGCCCTCTGCCACTGACGCACATCCCCACCTGGGCTCCATATGCTGGAATATAGTGGTGGGGCCCTGCCACCAAATTCTTGGCCCCTTCAGGAGCCCCATGGGCCGTATCTTTTACACCCCTAATGTAGGTGAACAAAAATGATTTATGCATTGCATTCTGTATTACACCTTATTTTCATATTCTGTCAATTCTCAGTAACTTTATTTTTTTTACTATTCTGTACATGTCAAGTTATACACTTAAATTCAAAGTATACCTGGATTACCCAAACATAAATAAAAGTTAACAGAAAAATTAGTATAACAACTTTTAAAAAAAACTGACAATGCAATATTGTATTATTTTATTTTAGACCTGAAATAATTAATTTCTGAAAGAAAAAATAGATCTGAGAAATTTCCTCCCCAAAATATATTTGAGGAAACTTGAATCTCTGCAAATGAAATGTAAATGTGCTTTGTCCTTCAAACCTTGGCGTGTCACCAAAGCAAGATGACAACTCTTTTCCTATCAAGAAAAGAAGCAAGATTTCTCCCAACAAAGCTGGAACATATATTCCCAGTTTCCCAGTCATTCTTCCTGTAACAGTAGCAGTATAGTTTTGGAAAAGGGAAGGGTTTCGTCATGTCTGTCCAGTGGGGGAAGTGAGGGTATAGGTATAATTAACCCTGTATTTGCTGCTCTTTCACTATACCTGCTATGTTCCTCTCATCTATTTACATTCACTTGAATTCCCTGGAATTTTTCAGACATACCTAGTACATTCAACATCACAGGAGTAATGTTCTATTTGAAGAAACCTGGAACATTCAGCAGTAGTCAAGGGTTAAGCAGGAAACCCTTATTTAGAATGAAGAATAGACTGCCAAATTGCATTCTCTTTCCATCTTTAAGATGTGCTTTCTCTCTTTCCCCTGGCTCTTCAGAAGCCTCTTGTTGAGACTTTTAAAAATAAAAAACATCTAACACACTTTCATCTTTCTCTCACCTTTTTTCCATTCCAGTGAGAAAGGTGAACTTTGGACAGATCAGATAATGAGTGCCAAGAAAACCTTTTTCCAGTGGAGCTCTTTGAAACCACCCTGGGCAAAGTTGTCAAGCCCTTAGGTTTACAAGTATTGCCTCAGGGGACCAGAAGGATTTGCAAAGGTCTTCCCTTCACAGCTTAAGAAGAAGAGTTCTTTTACTTTACATCCATTTCTAGAAAGCATAATGAAAGGGAGAACGGGATCAAATTTACAAGGTGCATAGCCTTAATAGACAGCCTTTGAAGTTATACACATACCAGCAAAACAAGTTAGATTTTTCACTTTGGTTCCCATAGGTAGATGCAGCAGTAGCTTCCTTAGAAAATTTTATTTTGTGGAATTTAAAAATAGGATTTACTCTCAGAAGAAAGATTATTAATTTCACATTTACCATGTGCGTGTTGCGAGAACTTTCTCACTATGGTACAAAAATTAAAGATTCTGTTGTAGATGACAAAATCTATGAGGACTTCAGTCTATTGCTAATCAAATATTTCAGACTCTTCTACTTCTTAATGATTGTCTGCTGACATTCCTTATTTTCTTCAAGGTCTGTTGTCTCTAGTATGCTCACAACAAAGATATTGTGAAAACAGATGTACAATCCAACTGGCTTGTAGCTTGGGTGGTATTAGATTTTAACTTATGAACAATTTTTGAAGGTACAACTCTGACCTGTATTACACAGTTGTCCATCAAGGTGATCGTAATGGTCCTTAGAAAAAACCAAATGAGATGATGGAAATTGAATAAAAATGTAGGTAATACACTAAAAAACTTTAAAAGGAAAAAAGAAAGAAAAAATGACAGTCCAGTAAGCCCAAGCATTATCTTTGGGAAAACAATGGGACAAATACAGAGCGAAAAATAGTACTAAACAAAGAGAAGAAAATATGTCTGATAACTTTCATGGCTTTATAACAGAATTACAGCGGACTGGCTGCAGAAAAACTCTGGATTTAATTAAAATATGTAATACCATTTTCTTGAATCCTTGCTTTCAACAATAATTCAAATTGGATTTTTTTTCTGTTACTTTGCCAAGAGACAGTAGACAGATCATTACAATAAATTGATAAATATCAAGCTTGGGGAGAGTCTCTACTGGCATATGGCACTAAATAGTCTATATTAGGTCTAGTCTTGTATAATAATTAGAAAAGGGAAAACAAAGAAATTAGCTGGTACTAGGAAGAGAAGACCAGTTTGGGCCTGCTGCTTCTAAAGAGGATGCTGACCCCACAGTTAAATCTAGTATTGGATGAGGAAACCCAAAAAAGACTTAAGGCTGATAGCTGCACATAGCTTACACATGAGACTTTTTTCAGTGAGATATGGCAACAATTTTTTATTTTATATGCCAAGCCTTAAATTATAGGCTAGTGGTCCTCTCTGTACAGCACTGGCATGACTAAACTTAAGATCTTTAATTAGTATAAATTCCCAAAGCTGTATTCAGCTGTGGCAGCAACAGTTTGTATCAGCTGAGGATCTTCTCCAAAATACTGCATTCACTTGTGGTTTGTTCATTGCAAATATTAAACTGAAGAGAATTCTGAGATGACAATATAAATGACTTAGCAAGCCAGATGATTTGACTTTTTGAGAAGAGATCAAGAGTGAATTATAGAGAGCATATCTGAGCTGTGACAGTATGAAGATGTTAGTGTACAGATATTTAAAGTATGTAAACACTTAGGGCCTGATGACTTCCTAACATAAAAAGAAGGAGAATAACTAGAAATAATGAGATTAAATTGAGAGAAAATGTAGAGCGGATATCCGAAAAATGCCCTGATAGTATTCACTATCTGCCTGGAATAATTTCCCAAGAGATGTACTAGAAACTCCATCTCCTAGTGCCTTTAAAAATATACTCAGTGAAACATTAGTAAATGTACAGTAGAGAACAATCCTGCCCTGGCAATGAAAAGAACTAGATGGTCTAATTAGTCTTGTCCATCTTTATATTCTGCCATTTTTTATTTCTTGGATTATGCTTTTTTTCTTGCAACTAGTTTTGAAAGGACAACTTAAAATATGAAACTTTCATATGATAAAATCCACTTTAGACAAATTAGTTCCTATGGATATTCAAGAAAATTGAATGCCTTGTCAAACAGGAAAGATTTTCCCAAGCTTTGACCCTACAACCTACTAATGCCTTCAAGCAGCAGCAGATCTTTTGAGTTTATGCTTCTAATGATACTCTTCAGCTGAAAATACCTTATTATCTAGCATTTTTTTTGTTTTTGCATGTTTCAAATAATAAATTAAATATAGCTTGCATTCAATACTGAAGTAGTTATGCATTAAGGGGATGAAAGGGTATTTAAAATATCAGCTGGTTTGCTTTTATTTTCTTTTATTTGTTGAACATTGATTGTTCATTTAGTATTAGAGTATGGAGGAGACATGACCTCTGTCCTGAAATGAAATATTTTGATCTAAGAGCCCAACACCTTGAATATGTATACACATGAATAACTTCATGATACAGTTCATGTGAGTGTTTGAGGATTTGGGCCCTAAATATATGACCTTTATATTAATTATGTGTTTGTTCCTGATATTCTATGGGAATATCAATGGTGATATTCCCATAGACCTCAATAAAGCATGATTGAACCATATGTTGCACTTTACTAATGAGTTATTAATGCCAGAGAAGTCTGACTGTTTCAATGGTTTGGGTCATGATGTTGTATGTAATAATTGAACTAATTAGGTGTCATTTTATTCTTATAGTGTCAGCATTTAAAATAACCAAAAAGTTTAAAATATATAGTGCCTTACAATTTATTTGATTTATTGGGCAAAGAACAGAAATTAATTTTTACACAGCTGCTCTGAAGTTATCTATTCTCTCTAGAAACAAGTGACTACACAATCAATATAAAAATGAAATAATAACAAAAAGAGCTATAATTTAAACATTATATACACACATGTATAAAATATGAATACAATGGGATGTGAATTTCATCTTATATAAAAAGGACTATGTATAACCTGAATTTGACTTTTGCATAACATTAATATTCCACTACATCTTGTTGATTTCTTTTTTATAATGCATTTCGATATATCAGAAGGTGTTGTAGGCTGCAGACTTTTCTACAGAATTAATCTTAACTTTGATCCCCTTTATCACACTGTGCAGGAGTTCTGAAGAAAGCTAGTGGGAAGCTTTTAATAGGGGAAGCTAGAGCAAATGAAACCAGTGTGCTTCCTGAACAGTTACTTCAGGTGAAAGAGGTGAGTATGAAAAGAATCTTGTACTTTGTAGGGGTTTGGGTTTTTTTGGTCTGTGTCATCAGTATAAGGTCAGTTAGCATGTTCATTATAACCACCTATCTTCAGAGTTTAATAATTTGGTTATTACAATTAATTTTAGAAAAAAAAGTCTCCTTTCAGGTGGAATAAAATCCTATGCATGTGAAGTGGAGAACGTGGATGTATGTCAAAAACGTTAAAGTATAACAAAGCCAAAATCAGAAGTTAAAAATACCTCACTAATAGAGAGGAAGGCAAAAACTTGCAAGTCCCTTTTCAATATTTCATATGTTTTCAAATGCAGCATAATTTTACAAAATATACAGAAATCATAGCATCTGATCATATAGATGGTTACTACTGGGGTTTGTTCTTAAAATCAAGACAGTTTCTTTGATATCAGTGAGCAACTAAATCTTATTGAAGGATTTTGTCTTCTATTTACCAACTAAAAATGTGTTATTGTGACAGGGGGCATGCTCAGGGCTGGGTCTCATGCTGGCCCGCCCACCTGTCTATGGAGCAGTCCGTCCAGTCTTGCCTGCCACGACTTTGCTGTTCCCATAAACTGGTGGTATAGTGCGGAAGACTGCCCATTTCCTGCCCCAATACCAGGGTGTGCTAGCCGCGGCTCCAAACCTTCCCTCCCCTGCAGCCCATGCCTTGCAGATGGCATCCACATGATGTAATCATAACCTACACCATGACTGGTGCTCCAGCGTCTCACAGGGACTCTCACTCCCTCCCTGGAGTAGCAGGTTATTGTGCTTAACCTTTAGGTCTTTCTTTCAACCCACCCTCATCCTCCTTGCATTGGAGGACTTACCAGGGTCAGGACTCGCCCTTAACTCTCTGGCTGAGCCCCCTACTTGGCCTCTGGCACAAATACGGCCTCAGGTGTCTGAAGACATACCTTGGCCTACTCCCTACTGTACCTGCTCTAGGGCCTCTATACCACACCCCACCATGGGGGCTTCTCATCCTCCTTGCACTCAACTACATCCTTACATTCAACTACTCATGAGACTGGTCCTTGCACTGCCCTTCAGCCCTACTTCCAGTTGAGCCCTACTCAGGCCCCCTGAGTACACTGCCCCCTGAAGGCACAGTCCTTCAGGTCTATTCCCCTTCAGCCGTACTGTGTGTGGGGCCACACAACTCTGCCCTCTTCCCTAGGGCCTCACTATACCACCCTCTGTCAGGGTCTCGGGGTCAGCCACCCCCGTAGGCTCAGCTGGCACTCTGCTTACTGTGCCTGACCCACCACACTCACTCCCCGGGCTCTTGCACCTGCCTCATAGGCTCAGGTGGCCACAGCCAAGCCTGGCCCCACTGCTGCTTCCCAAAGCCAACCTGAAGATGGGGGCTGGGGTTAAGGCACCCCTCCTTGCCTTTCACTGGGGAGGTAACTAGCCTGGCATTTCTTGGGGGCTCCCATGCCACTAGGAGCCCCATCAGGCCACCCTTCCCCAGCAGGGTGCAGTTTTAGGTCATGCCCAGGATCAAGAGCCTCCTGCTCCTACCTGCTAGATGTCCTGTGCAGCTCAGCCAGGCAATGTTTATATTCCTAGTGCTCAAAATGGCTGCCCTCATCAGGCACCTGGCTGCTGCCTGTTTTCCACCCTTAAAGTGGCAGGCACCCAAACGTGCACTGCCACAGTCATATTTGAGCTTCTGAAACCTGATGTGATCTAAATATATGCCAGGTACATTATTTTTCAGCAGTGACATTTAATAAGCCAATTTTATGATTCAAATAGCCCTAAATAGCCCCCTTTTTTCTCTTCTATCATTCCCTATATAACAGCTTAGATTAAGTTCTTTGCTCCTGAAACATCCCTTTTACAATGAAGGAATTCTCAGTTGGCCATTTTTGGCTTTGTCTGCTTTATGCTAACTGGGCAGTGCAAAGTAAGATTGAATGAAAATCAGGATATGGTCCATGTTGTACTTGCATCTACAGTTGGCATGAGTCAGATCCACCTTAGAGTTCTCTCATTCTTTTGTGAAGTTTGACAGCTCATTCAACATGGACCAGTTGAAACCTTTGTAAAATCGAGTGCTAAAGAAATTAAATGTAGTTTAGATGTGTTAGAACAGTTTCTTTTAACCGTTTGTTTACCCCTTAGGTTATTTGTTGCCAGTTTAGGATTTTAGGTGTTCAGAGTAAGAGACAATAGTATATGATGTTTTATGTTAAAAACACTTCTTAAACTATAGTGGCTATAAAATATAATTTACTTTCTTAAATATAGTAATTTTAAAGATTTATTTTACGTGCAGTCTCCTGCTTATAGAAAGATGTTTTAAGAGTTGAAATATATATTTTATAAATAAACTTAGAATACTTTTATTAAATCCAGTGACAATTCAAATGAAACATCACTATGCTTATAAACATGTGTTAAGTATATCTGTCTCTGAATATATATTTATATAATATATATATATATATATATAAATAAATAAAATTAAGGAGTTATAGTTTCTGTGTTATGTGAATACTCTTGCTACGTGTGACAAAATTTCTTCTCTAGACAACTTGTATATTGGTATTCTTATAATTTTAGGACCATAACAATAGTAGCACTCATTGTTGCATTTGGATTGATGTTATAAAAATGTATATTTCAGCCTGTTTTCTTGGAGTTCGGCTGGAGAAATGCATTTAAAAACCTGTCTTCTTCTATGGATCACTGTATATCAATAGCAATTGAAGATTTTTTAACTAAAATTCTTCAGCATGAGCAGAAAGAACAGTCTTCAGCTGCAAGCTATTCAATGAGTCTTGTAAACACCCAGCAAATGAAGGAGTCCTGGGGAGCAGTTCACCAGGAGGAGCAACCAAAACGAATTGTAAAGGCAGGTATCAAAAGATCTGAAGTTTGAGGGGAGACAGAATGCCAAGGTTGTTTGCCATCTAAGCTTTGAAGTACTTACAGTACCATTAATATTCCACGTCTCATATAAATGGAATTAAGAATGTGAGAGGCATTACAATACACTCTTGAGCTTTGCTTTATACATTCACCCATAGTCTGTATTAAACAGAATGAACTTTTTAACTTTGCCAGTATTATTTTTTTTCATCAAAGGATTCTAAGCCATTCTGATTACTATCTGCTGTATTACCTCCTAGTTTGATGATAAAATGGTTGAAAACTTTGAAGAATTACTATAAAAAGGGTTTCCTGTATTTATTTCCTTAGGCATACCATTTAATTAATCATCATAACAAATATTACTGCCAAATTGGAGTTCTTTGATTTGTCCAAAAGGTCAGATATGTTGATTAATTAAATGGTTTGTCAAACGGAATAATATCTTAAAGGTTTTTAAAGTAGGATTTTTTTGCAAGTGTTTTAGTCAATTTGGGATAGAGTACAGTTGATAGTAAGCAGAACTGTTAGATGTTTAAAAAAAAATACAGGCTTTCAGTAAGATATCCAAACTGAAAACTATGCGCACACGCACACACACACATGTATATATATTTATGCGGTGTATATATATTTATAATGTAAATACATTGATATTTATTTATGTTTGTATACATACACACATTTCTTTGGCAATGACAATTTCATTTTTTATATTACTGACAAGTAATGTTAATAAATGTATTTTGAAAAAGGTAAAATAATTTGGAAAATTATCCCTGGTCACAAGGAATTAATTTTATCTTCAGAATATTATTAAATATATATTATAAAGATTAGGACATTAGGGGCGCGTCTAAATGAGATGCTGAATACACAGGACCATCGTGTGGCAAAACCGTGCTGCGACACTACTGTGTAGTAGTATCAGGCTACTGCACAATAGTGTCACTTAAAAGACGTTTTCTGGTGCTATTGCACAGTAACTCCAGTTACTGTACATTTATTTAGTACTTGCTTCTACAAGTACTAAATAAATGCTCAGTAACCACTTCACAGTAGCATCTCGTGTAGACATGTCCTGTGAGGTTAGGCCCCTAAATTCCTCTCAACGGGCACTGTGGAATTAAACAGCGTAAAGACTATAAAGTCAGGTTTGATGTATTCACATGATTATAAATAAAGGCTTTTCCTTGTAAGCCAGAGTGATTTTTTTTTTAATAAAACTGATACATGATATTTATGTTTTATGCCAATTTCATTATTCAAGAGCTTGACCCTATATAAATCACACAGTTCTGTCACAGAACAAATAACTTGATGCCACATTTATTTCTTCCTAGTTTTGTTCTGACATCATGGAAGAACTTGACACATTGCTTCCATTGGCTCTGGCATGCAGAGATGATTCTTTTCAGGAAATTACAGCAAACTTTGTAGAGGCCTGCTGCAAAGTAGCAACAGCTGTCCTGGCGAGGTTGGAGGAGAGAAGCAGAGAAGTTCCATCCAAGGCTCCTCTGCAAAACTTACATGCTGTACTCTCCACAGCTGTATACATCTTTCAGAATTTTATAATGTATGATAATTTAATGAGAAAGACCAGCAAAAAGTGAGTCCTTTTCAATTTAATCATTTAATTCAAATAGATATTTTGGCATTTTAATTGCATTTCAGTGATACAGAGAAGTAGCAAATATACCCAAATATTTCCCAAAAGTTAAGACCAATTTGTTTTGTTTTAAGAAAGCCCTGAATCAAAGGTGTTGATAACTTGAAATAGCTGTTATAAAAACTACTGTTTTTTTTTTCAAGATTTATATTGGTAAATCAGTGCAAATTCTTACTAACCATATGCTAATACAGTAGTTGACTCCATCATATAATAATATGAATAGAAAACTAGGATTTTTGCTTCAAATTTGTTTGCACTAATAACTTAATATTCATTATATGTTTAACACGTTTGATTATAAAATAAAAATACATGCCTGTACTCTTTCAGTACTAAGTACAGACAATCAAAAAGCCTGAAGCAGAATCGATTCAATCTTCTCAGGTTAGTCTAAACTGTGTTAGACTGAACTGATATACAAGTGAACAGATAGTCTACAGACATTTGATTTTGGAAATGTAGCCACATGCCTGCAGTGGCCCAGGCTAGAAGCCCAGGGTCAAGATGGTGGTGGTAGAGCATGCCTCCCTGCTCTGCTGGAGAAGACAGCTTGGGCCAAGGCTAGCCTGCTTATCTTGTGAGGGAGATTTTTGGGGGGAAGATGCAAATCATTCTGGCATGCTGAGGGTCTTTGAGTTAACTTGAATCTGGGACAGAAGTTCAATAAACTAATTTAACTTAAATCAGTTTAGTCTGATACTACATCTGTCCGGGCTTATCAACCAGTTTTGCCCATTTTGAAAGTGGTTTATATGCACTGAGCTTCTGTTATGTTACAGATTTGAACTGATTTCTGATCACTGACACTGGTTTATGGGCAAGTTCTGTCCCTAACAGAGAGTTTCCATTGTTGAAGAAAGGGGCATGTTATGTCAGTGAAACACTAGCTGAACTTGTTCTAAGCCAACTTTCCCTTTACATGTGCTTCCATAGGGTACATATTAGGGAGAAAAGTGGTCTATGAAGACAGAGGTTAGCGCTATGCTCCTTTTTGACAATTCTCATCTGATGTATGGTTCATCAGGATCAAACTCAGCTGCTGAATGTTGAAGCAGCTTTGGCTACCTGAGACCAGATTGTAAATCAGCGAACTATACATGGTTTCATGATCCTTTCTCTTGCATAAGATCTTTCTTGGTGCATAAGAATATTTGCATCAAAATACTGCCTGGTCATTGTTTTTACAAAACATTTTGTAGTCACTTTTATATAGGCAATTATACTTTTATTTTATTAAAATAATGTCTAGTTCTTGTTTACTCTATATACTCTATATATGAGTTACTGCTGACAAGGGCATATGGTCATCCCAGAGAAATTGAATAACAGAGAACCTTCTGACCCTTAAAGATAGGAAAGAACATTTTTACTTCTAAACTCTGTATTGGCAGTGCAGTTTGTCTAAAAATGAAGTACACATTTGTAGAACAGCAGATGTACATTTCAAAGAGATTGCAAAACAAAGTTCAGATTTTTTTTTAAAGTGAATGTAGGCTTGGACTCCAGGAATGAGAGGAAATAAATGATTGATATCTAATAATCAAAAACATTTGTAGTACTGGGGTTTGTTACCTCCTACTGCACTGGCCTTAAATCTTTGCCTCTTTGATCATTCCCTCTGAACAGACCTCTGTCTCTAGTGCCTGTCCAACAATATCAGGAATTCATCAACGTTCTCCAGTTTCAAGTTATAAACTACTGCGTCAGAGTTTGTGCGACATGCATTTTACAGGATGCCGAGAGCCACCACTGGGATGACTACAAAGCTTTTTATGAGGTGTGAGGTTAAGTTTACTATCGTTCCTTTTTACACAAATGTGTTTTACTGCTTGCCAGCTCTCTGACTAATTAGAAACATAAGGTCAGCAATTCTTGCGCACATCGCTGTTGGGATATAGTATTTTTAGAAATGTCTGTGTTGCTGTATGTACATGGCTGCTTAGGATTGATTTAAGTGATAACTTAGAAAGATTTAAGGTACTCAGTAAGATAAGATAAATGCTCCCATTCTGTTTGCTGAGTAAAATACTTTTTATCAGAATAGGTTGAAAATAACAAGTTTACTTGAAAAGAAGAAAAGGTAGCATACAGCTAACATAGGACTCAAAAAATTATAATTATTTTCTCCAGTGAAGTAAACCTGTGCTAATTGCAAGAATTTGCTTTTTTGACTTCGCTTTGAATTAAGTTTAAATAAGGTAACCAATATTATTGTCCATAGAAACCAACCCCCTATTTTTAACCTGTCATTTTGTCTGAGTTCTGGAATCCCAAATCTGCTGTTAAAATCTGTAGTCTAATGGTTCTAATACCAGAAAACTAGGGAGCAACTAAGCAAATTAATACTTAGCATACACTTGATTATTTTCCCCTTCCAATAAACTATTGATTATAAGCCACATACTGCTTGAAATTCCTTGAGCATGGTTACAAGGTGAAGTAATGCGTTTATAATTTTATTATAAATAAGAGTGGAATCTTCAGACATCATAGCCCTACTTTTTCTTATTACCATTATCGTATTTAAGAACTAGGCTTCTGAGACTGATCCTAGCATTTCTCAGACATGAATGGGGAAAAGAATGATCTCAGTATATGACACTCTCTGGCATTGTTAGGAAGAGCTAGTGTGTTACACAGTCTCTTCATTAGTATTGAGGATCTGTTGAAGTCAGTTGGTTAAACATGCCTTTCTGTGGCTGATACCTCTACAAGTTCTGTCTATCGGAGAAGACTTATAAAGGAAGCAATTCCTGGATGTTTCAGAAGTTGGTAACAAGATACAGAGCACAACACATTTTAGCCACTGATTCAGATCTGGTGTATTCTGGCTGTAATCTAAATTTACTATCATGTGGATGATGCCAGTTAACAGCAGCCCCATTTTTTTGTCTACTTCAAAAAACAAAAACAAAACATCATCATGAATGGCAAAATTTGTTAATGGTCTTGGCAAAGACAGCAGAGACCGACTAAACAGTCCTTTGGTCCTGGTCACAACTGATGCGCAGAGGAAAGGATACATAGCTTTCAAATGGTGGTTAGGAAGAATGAGCTCTTATTTTGCCTATGTCCCCAGTATGAATCCCCACCTACCATGTAGGAATAGAACTGGTAGGCTGGTGTTGTGCATGTAACAAGCAACACCCCACCAAAAAAGGGACTGTATGCAAAATAAAGCCTCTCTGCATAAGTACAGGGGCCAGAATGTGACTTGCTATGATTACATGGAGTGGTAGTTCCTATACACAGTATTTATGTATGTATATATGTAATAGTAATGCCCAAAGGCTCTGAGTTTGTATTGGTAACCCATGACTATTTATAGTCTATGAAATAAAGTGATACTACAATATGTATCTGAATCCAAGATGACTGAATTTAAGTCAACTTCCCAATAATTAGCTTCTATACATGGACATTTATAAATCTATTATTGGAGGGTTGTCTTACCCCCACACCGTAGCAGAGAAAACAGTAGCAGGGGGGAAGGTGATGCAGGAGATGGTGGGGGCTTATTTTCTGCATTATAGAAATAAAAATTGTTCCATTTTCAAATGTTTTTGCTTTTAGTTACCTAACTATATTATCTCATGTCACATTCTCCCTAGACCACTTCCATGATACAGCAGTTGGAAGTTGGATTCAGAAAATCACAGATAGTTCCATAATAATTGGAGGGTAGGGGGTTGAAAGTGGGTTATGTGGACTGAACTTCTTATGTTGCAGATTTGAACTGGTTTCTAATCACTTATACTGATTAACATGTATAATTTCTGTCCCTAGCCTAAAGGTTCAGCAATGATTTTACAAGATACAGAGCAATATGTGTTTCTGTATCAGTATGTGTTTGACATACAAATTTAGTCCTTGCTCCATTATTTCCATAAAGCATGTTAGAGTCTATACTGTCAGGGATCTGAATCTACCAATGTTAGTATCTCACTGATAGAGTATATTGAACACCCACTGTGCGCTAAGTCAGATCTCCAGTTTACATTAGAGAATCAAGTTTTTAGTGTAGCAGACATCTGCTACAGTTTTAGGAACTTATGTTTTCTAATAGTCAAAGAATAAAGAATTGTCTGTTCAAAGATAATATTAAGTGGCTTAAGTTATAAAGCCCAGCTGCTTGTTTCTTGATATATAAGCTAAATAAGAGCTCACATCTGTTTATATTATAGACAGTCTGCAAAAATAGCAGATGTTTACCAGTAGAATAGTTTAGAAATAGCAATAAACAGGGAAACAGAGGGAGTGAAAGACTTGCTTACCCTAAAATAACAAATAGTACAGTGATCAAGGCACTTTCTTGGGATATAGGAAATCAAAGTTTGAGTCTGTCCTCTGTATGGTTCAGCCTATGTTTGAGTCTTGGTCTTCCTGGGTGCCTGTAGATGCGTGGGGATGCTGCTGCGACATGCTGTAATTACCCTCAGAGAATGCTTATTAACATGCTCCAGCAGCCTCTGCATCTTGTGTATTCAACTTCAAAATGGTGGTGGGGGTACTTTAAAGCTCATTGAACAAGCTTTACTTAAAGTGCCCTGGCACCATTTTGAAGTTTGCAACACTGAATACACAAGACACTGTGAGCACTTTAATTAGAGGGGTTCTTGGAGACATTCTAATTAAAGAGTCACCTCCCCCCCCCACCTCTGAAGTACATGTGAAAACACCCCCATTTCCCAGATATGTGCTATGACTCATAGGTTGTTTGACTACTCTGTGTTGGTCATTTTTCAGTATCCTGTTGGAGCTGGTCTACACTGTGTAAATAACTCATTAAATATTCCTTGGACGAGAGAGAGAGTGGGAGGGGAGGGTGGGGGAGGGGGAGAGGGTTGTATAGCTCAGTGGCTATGGCAGTCCCCTAGAATGTAGTAGGAAAAATGGTAGAGCAGTTCATGAGCTTTCATTTCTCACATTCCAAGTGAGTGTCAACCATCGAAATCTTGGCTATTTTGAGTGGTGTGCTTACTTTCTGTAAGCAGAAAATTGACCCTGGGCATGAGAAGCTTTTCCTGCCAAAAGGTTTTTTTGAAAGCTTTTCTTTTAGTGAATTAGCATTATCAGGTGAAAAAGTCATGTTATGGATAAATTCTGACCAACTCCATTTAGAAGTTGTTATGAGTTATAGCTGTTTTTTTCCTTTTTTTTCCATTGCAATTATGCACAAGTAAAAGTTTATAAAAAGTTGTTAGTGATGATTATGAATCCAGGGAAATATACATGCTTAAGTAATGTAAAGGATTTGGTTTCTGTTTAAGAAGAGGCAGTCAGTATATCAAACTAATCCAGTTAAGTGATTGCAAAATATTGCATGTAGTTCTAAAGTAGAATTAAAACAATAGGTTGAGAGTAGGTTAATTAAGGATATGTTAGGTGAGATGCTTGTGGTTTGTCTGTGTGGTAGAAAACTGGTTTCCTAACTTTAGTAGAACATGTGCTTTTTTGTCAATAAAGATGTTTTACATCTTGTCAAGAATCTTTTTTTTTGGTCATCCAGTGTTTAAAACTCCTCAGCTATTTCCTCTCAGCCTGAACTAATTAGAATCACAGGAACCAAACTGACATTTTGGAAGATGTGTTTCTGTTGTTTAATATGTGTGGTTTTGCCAGGGGGAAAGATGTTCATTCTCTGTCCAGATGTGGCATTATTTTTGCTGTGCTCTTCATCATGATCTGTGGACTATTCAACCCCCCAAGTTAGCCCAGGAGATACTGACAGAAGTGCTGGAAAAATCTTTGGCTGTGCTGTCCTGTAGATATTCTCAGGCCCAACCCACTTACAAGAGAACTCCACAGATAAGGTAATGCAAGTATAATTAAAATTATATGGATAACGTGTATATTTTCATTTTATACTATTTGCTGTAACTCATCTGACTGAAATTATGTGTCTGCAAATTACATAAATAGAGTTATAAATTGATACATTTCTATGTGGACCATTTCAATTAACTGCACCTCACATATTTAAGTGTATACATGGTTCCATATCTCATGTGTTATTACTACTATGTTCATATAATTCTGTCTTTTGTAAATTTTAAGGGTTTGGCTAAAGGTTTTGATACTTGATATAGAGAAGGCTAAGCAGTGACTATACAGGCCAGAGGAAATGCAGGTAGTGATCACAGCATTTGTGCATACATGAGGAAAGGGATAAGCGATTGCTCCATGCTTTTCTGAGGGTGTGTCAACGCGAGATGCTTTACTGCATAGTAGACTAATCTACTGTACTGTAAAGCATCACTGTGTAACCATGTGCAGGAGCTACTGTGCAGTAGACTAGCCTGCTGTGTGGCTTTCTACAACCTATAAATACAGGTAGTAGATTTATTGTGCTGCAGCTACTGCACAGTAGCGCATGATTATACACCTAACCAGGAACAATTTGCTCCTGGACAGCAGTGGGCGGGAGAACAATCCCCTCCCCTGGGAGCTACCTACTTCTGGGGCCAGCTCTGATTGTGGACTCTGGGTGGGGACAATGCCCCCTTGCCCCTGCAGCAGACATCTCCCTGTCTCAGCTCTATGATCAGAGCTGCCTGCTGCTGAGGTAGGGGGACATTGTCTCTACCTGGGCTCCAATCTTGGAGCCTGCCCCAGCAGCAGGCAGCTACCCGGGGCAGGGCGCAATGTCCCACTCCCTGTTCTGATCTCGGAGCCCAGCCAGGGGCCAGGAGCTGCCTGCTGCAGGGGCAGTGGACATTGTCCCAGCCTGGCTCCATGATCAGAGCAGGGGTTTGGGCAGCAGGCAGCTGACTGGAGCAGGGGTGCAGGGGGGTAAGCAACTGCCCCAGAGGTGAGACAGCTGCTCCCAACCCCTGAAGCCCAGGGCTGATACTGGTGCCCCCTGCCAGCCCTGGGCTGGCACCCAGGGAAGCCTAGAGCTCCCCCTGGCTGCCATATAGTAACAGAGCAGGGCAGGAGTATCTGCTTCTTTTGGAAGCAAATTTTCTCCCGACGGGCACATGTGTAGACATGTGCTCAAGGAAAGGTTACTGTGCAGTAAACTTTTTGAGCATTAATTGCATGTGTAGACATGCCCTGACATACTTTAGCATATCTGCTAGGATGCACAGCTTTTCCAATTGAGGAGCTCCTGAATTATCTTAAAAGGTAATCAGGACTCGTAGTCGAGATGATATCTTTTATTAGACCAACAAAATTTTTGCAAAAAAAATTTATTTAATTGCAAGCTTTCTGCCACAAACCCCAGGCAATGGAGAAAAGATTGTAAAAGTTCTCCTGGGTAGAAATGAAAGTTCATATTTCATAGGATTTCACAGAGGAGTCAATAGATGGAATACTCCTCTGGATAGTCAGTTCATAGCTGGTATGAAGTCTCTCACTTCCTGTGAGGATGTGTGATGATGCAAATTACCTTGAAACAAAGGCAGGAGCAGGATCTCAGGTTTTGCGTGGTCACAGTTGCTTCCTGCTTGGAAAAATATGAAGATTTCATGTTTCAAAAATTATGAACTTTGTAATGGTTGGTCCAGGAGTGCATGTTTTCTTTTTCCCCATCCTAATTATGACCCTGCAATTGAAGACAGATCTACCCTTTGAGATCCCTAAGATTTGCCAGTGAAGGGGCTCTGCTTAGGAGGTGAAAAGGACGGGAACTTTGGGCTGCAAATATGTTTTAACATTCCAACTCATTCCTTTTATTTACCTTCCTGTTTATTTGGAGAAATCTGTGTTTGTGTTTTGGTTTTTTTGTTCCTTTTTTTGGTTGTTTTTTCACTCTGCCCTATATTGAAATGTATTCTGGAAGAGAGAGTCTGTTGTGACCTTAAGATTTTGAGTTACCCTGAGAGTCTGTCATTTTCATGGAAACTAAACCCACCAAATAAAATATATTTGTGCAACTCCTAATGATAGTTTTAAATGCAGAATTGACACTGAAACTGAGATTTAAAATTTGGTTTTGATTCTGTAGTGTAAGAGTGCTGTTGTAGCTGTGAGAATCCAGAAATTATGAGAGAGGCCAGAATTTCTTAGGATGGTATCTTTTATTGGGCCAACTATGTTTTTATTCTGGGCATTCTGAAAATGCCTGTCATTCAAAAAACTGCACCAAAGCCTTTATTGGTTTAGATAGGCATCCCCATTACTGTATAGACATGTAATTTGAGAGATTTGGCAATAGTAAACCCAGTATCTATGAAAGGGGTAGTACTAGATGACTCTCAATTCTGTAATTCTAAACAATAATGAAAGAAGGCTTAAAACATGCCAGAAAATTTCAGAGCTATTGTCAGCCACATATTAGTTATGATAAAATTGAAGTACAAAATGATTAGGAAAATTGTCCAAAGTCACTCACCAGGAATAAAACTCTGGTTTTCCATTCTCTGCTTTAATCCTGAACTAAATGTTCTGGAATAAGGCCACTTTAAGTATACTTGGGATATATATTAGGTGATATTTTGGATGTTCATGTATTATACAGAATGTTGTAAGATTAGACTCAGACTGTTGTAGTTGCTCTATGGCCTAACATTAAGAACCTCCTTCCCTAATAGTTTTCTTGAAAAATCTGAGTTTGTCAAATATCTAAGTACTGGTAGAGTATTTTCAATTCAGCATGAACCTGGTTTAAATTATTGGACCACAGGGAATATTGGATGCCTCCCTTTTCACATATGATGATCCAACCCATTTATTATTCTTAGTTTTGCCTGTACATGAACGATCCAGTAATAATTCAAAAAATAAAAAGAACATATTGGAGTGAATATCTAGATAGTGTGTGTGTGTGTATATATATATATATAGTGTATATTTATATATAGTAAATAGATAAGTTTCTCATTCTATAGTTGTATTGGGGGTTCTAATGACAGACTTATGAAGCAAACTGGAGGTTCTTTGTGGACTTTGGGTCAGATTTTCATAAGGTAGTTAGGTACTTAAAGAAACAAATAGGTGCCCATTAGATTTTAGATTCTTTTGAGAACCCTGCTGTCATGCCCATGTCAAAAGAGACATGCTAATGTGAAGCAAACTACAAAGGAGGGAAGATAGTTGGATATTACCTTGGAATTGTGGAAGATGCTGGAGAATAACAGAATCTAAGATGAGGAATCATATAGGTAGCTCCACCTTGATGGGTCACTTAGGAAGGAAAAATCATTTCCCTACTTGCTTTAACAGAAATTCAGGATAACTCAAAATCTTATTGTCACAACAGATCCTCTCTTTCAGTATATATTTCAATTTAGGATTTCAAATAATTTCCTATTCTGTATCAGGACAAACTCAAAACTTCTTAAAGTTCTTCATGAAAAATAAGTTGGACCAATAACTCATTAGTTGGGGCACTCACCTTGCATGTGGGAAAACCAATTTCAGGTTCCTGTTGTGTTTGATCCAGTGCTTGATCTCTGTAGAACCAATGTTGTCTATTCTGAGATGGAGTATCAGTTTCTTCCACCTCAGGTAAATATTTACAAACATATTGAGGCAGAAAGAGAGAGCCTTTTTTTACCTTTTAAAAACTTTATTATACAAATATTAAAAATAAATTGTGAAAGTTCAAAGGCACATGGCCCTCCTAGCAGCAGTGTTTGAAACACTGGTTAGCAACAAAAAAAGAAAATCACCTTGTCCCCGGAGATTGAAACCCCTCTCCTCCATGCCCCTCAGGGATTACACATGTAGGATCATTTGTCCATCCTCCACCTTGCAGGGGGCCCTCTCAGTGGCCCAGTATCTATATTTTGTCCAAACTGGTCCACATTTTGTTGCAAGGTGAAGTGTCCATATTCAAATGTGTCATGTGCCCAAACCAGAAAGCAAAAGAGTTGTAAGACATCATTAGAGCTGGCCGCTGTAGCTTTTCAAAGTCACCATCCCAGCCTGGCCTGGCAGGAAATTGGCCAGGCAGCTCATGCTCCCTTTGGCTGCTCAGTATGGGATAGAGAGTATGTACACTGCCTCAGAGAAGTCTAAATCCAGCATGCCAAAGAGAGTACTGAGAGCAGCAAAGAGCAGTTGCAGGCACCAGGAAGACATGGAAGGTTTCCTCCATGTCCTCCTTGCAGAAAGGGCAGGCCACTGATGTGCTGGGTCTAAATGTTGAACAACAGTGCCTGTGTCCAGGACTCTAAGTAGAAGCTGCCACTGGAGCTCTCCAGAGAGGGAGAGAGAGAGATTCTTATTATTTGGGTACTGGGCTGAGATGGCCAAGAATCAGGTTCAAGACCATGGTGTGAACTGAGTATTTTTTATGTTGTCAAGAGATTTTTGATTTAGCTGACATTTTACCATCAGATTGCTTCCATGGATGACATTGTGCTTTCTCTCTTTTTGTCCCCTACAGATTCGATATTGCAGCAATTTTAATGTCCACTGAAAATATACTGTGGTCAGTTTGCAGCTCGGTGAGGGAATTCCTGAATCCACATAAAGACAGAGACCCTAAAATCTATAAAATACACAATCAGTGCAACAATCTGCTCGCTGTACTGGCCATTTTGACTGCACCTTTGAAGAATCTATATGAGTAAGTATGAGAGTAATGTTTAGCACAAAGTAAAATTGACCATATGTCTTCATTAGACTTACAAGCAGAAGGTGGAGGATCTATGACATATTTTTGTATTGAACTATAAATATAGCCTATAAAGAAGACACAACTTGATATATCTTGACAGCTTCTGATCTACACATTTGATTTTTATTTCCCAGTTAGTATTATGAGTTAATCTTCTTAGGCTTTATCCAAAGACCATTTAAGCTAGTGGTATCTTTTCTAGCACCTTCAGTGAACTTTGGATAAGGGATATCATACTTGCTAGGCCTATGCGAAACAGAAAGTATTCGCTTTGGATTTGGCGATTCGGAGGAACAGTGATTTGATTCAGTGATTCAAATCACTATCTCTATTCAATTCATCCGAATCCATATCTGAAGATATTCAGTGTCAAATCATATTCAGCCATAGACTATACAGGCAGGCAGTGCTGGCAGGAGCAGCTGGGGAGCAGCTGGATGAGCCCCTACTTGAGCCTGCAGCCCCAGGAGAAGCCACGGCTTGTCTGGCTGCTTCCCTGACTGCCTGGGCAAGGCAGGCAGTGCTGGCAGCCCCAGGAGAAGCCACGGGGCCTGAGGGGAATGATCGGGGAGCTGGGGGATCAAACTGGGAACTGGGGAATCAAACCGGGAATCTGGGGGAAACCCCTGTTCATTTCCCCAGCCCCTGAGCTCCTGGTCATTTCACCCAGCCCCTGCAGCTTCTCCCAGGGCTGCCAGCACTGCCTGTTTTGCCCTGGAGGGGGAGCAGCCAGAAGAGCCATGGCTTGAGCCAGCAGCCCCGGTAGAAGCTGCAGGGGCTGGGGGGAATGAACAGGGAGCTGGGGGAATGATTGGGGGCTGAGGCAATGAACAGGGGCTTTCCCCCAGCTCTCAGTTCAATTCCCCAGTTCCTGGTTTAGTCCCCCAGCTCCCCAAGCATTCCCCCTAGCTCCAAATCATTCCCCCAGCTCCCCAATCATTCCCCTTAGCTCCTGCAGCTTCTCCCAGGGCTGCCAGCACTGCTTGCCTTGTCCCAGTTAGGGGCGGGGGCAGCTGGGGGAGCAGTTGGATGAGCTGTGGTTTCTCCCAGGTCTGCTGGGACTCAAGCTGGGGCTCATCCGGATGCTCCCCCAGCTGCTCATTGCCTAGTGCCTGCCTGTACAGTCTATAGCCGAATCTCTCTGAATTGATTTGGAGGCTTCCAATTCAATTCAGAGAGATTATTGGGTCTCCCAATTCAATTTGGATTTGGAGATCGTTAATAGAAGCTAAAAAGGCCCATTATGATTATCTAGTCTGAGCTCCAGTATAATATAGGCCATAGAATTTTACCTAGTAATTAGGACAGCAAGCAATTCATTTCTGCTTCATCTAGGATACATTTTTAGAAATCGTTACCTTCTTGACTTAAAACATAGTGATTTATTTATTGTATTCTTAGAAACATTTTTCCAGCTATAACCTTCCATGATTGTTACATTTGTACTTTTTTAGCAGCCTGTATTAGTCTAATTTCAGTTTCTAGACTTTGAGCCTTGTCAATACTTTGTCTGCTAGATAAGTTACTGATCCCATGAATATGGGAGTATCTTACCCCATACTTACATAAGAACATAAGTAATGTCATACTGAGCCAAAATGGTGGCCCAACTAGTTCAGTATCCTACTTCTGACAGACAGTGGCAGAACTGGATGCTATGGAGGGTGCACATAGGGCATATCTAGAGTGATCTATCATTATCCTCCCTGAAATCTGCCATCACTGATATAGAGATGTCAGAAGATACATCTCTGACTATCCTGTTAATAGCTATTGATAGATTTACCACCTATTAACTCATCTTGTCTTGTTTTGAACCTGGCTATGCTATCTGCCTCTACAACTTCCTGTGGTGATTAGTTCCCTACTTCTGGGATTTTTTAAAATAATGTAATGAAATGATTTGTTGCTTACTAGACTGGTAGGAAAATTGTTTATTTCAATGAATCTTAAATACACTCTAAAGATTAAGTTACAGACATTACATAGGAGTTATGCCATTGCCTTCAGTAGAGGTAGGATTTCATCCTGAATTTTTTGTTCAAAAATCAAACATCAAAAAGAAACTAGTTTGGATTTTATTACATCATGAGAAAACTGGAGGGACATTTAAACCATTTTGTGCCATTTTTCTAATCACTGTTTTTACAGATTTGCCTTGTCTCTTGAATAACAAGAAGTGATCTAATAACATGAAAATTAAGTGAACTCTAAAGGCATGTCCAGATGAGCGCACGTGTGTGTTTCCCCAGGAAATGCCCCTGCATGTATACTCTAGTGCATAGCAAATAGCCCTGGGTTGGGTAGGGGAGGCTGGGGCCAGCACCTGGGTTGGCTCCAGCAGCTTACCTGGGACCCGAGGGCCTCCTGAGGCTCCAGCAGTGGTGATCTGGGCATGCGGAGCCAGGCTGGCAGCCAGAGCATGGTGCTGGCCAGCCAGGCTCTGGTTTCAAGCAGTGCACGTGGTAGCAGTGTGTGCCACCCCACTTTTTTTCTGGCATAGGTTTTTTTGACACCGGGATCTCCTGCAAGTGAGTGCCTGCATATGTGCCCTTGTGGGTACGTGCCCTAAGAGTATGAATATTTGGCACAACAAATGTCACATTCAACCACGCTGTGCTTGGTGTATAGGCTCTAATGTGTGCTACTACTTGTACTCAAAGAATGACATTATCCACCTCAGCCCAGTGTTGCCATGTGCTTTATAAGCATACTGCCTAATAGAAAAGGGCAATTAAGGGTGGACCGAATAAGTTTACACTTTGAATTTTGGGCACAATATTATCAAATACTTTTAAAGACAAGAGATGTATAAATCTCAGTATTTTAAATTGATTTAGTTGAAACTCACTTTGCTTGGGGTCCAGTGGGCAATTTAATCTGACAATAAGGTTCTTTGAGAATCATAGACAAAGCTGACAGATTTCATGGATTGTTCATGCTAAAAATATCAAATATCATGGTGTATCACTGATTTCCAGAAAAATATTGAAGCTAAAAATAATATATTTAACAAATAATTTTCAAAGGTAATACATATTTTGTGAAGGCTAAAGATGGTTATTCACCATAATTAATTTCTCAACCATGTCTTCCAGTATTTTTATTCTTAAATCTAACTCTCAAATTACAAGTTTTTGTATATTTTATATTGCATTTCAGTACACTCTCAGTAACTGAACCCACTAATTACAGACCAGATTACATAAGAAGTTAATGTGCTTAGTTTGTTTATTAAGTTTCCTGAGTGTATCAGTTGCTGAGATGCATATTTTGGTATACAAAAGCATGGTTTATCATTAACAATGTGGGAATGACAAATGTTGGACCTAGTGCCAGAATGTTTGTGCCAGGATAAATTCCAAAAAACAGAAGCATTTTCTCTTGGCAATTTGATAGATCTCAAAACATAGAATCCTGTCCTGAATAATAAAGCATTATTAAATTCTCCTTTCTTCTCTCTGCAGCTGATAACTATAGAAAAATATCTAATGTTATAAAAAAAAAATCAATCATGTTAAAATTTAATGGGGCCATGAAAAAAAGTTCATTAGATACAAAAAATTGAATGTTTGATGAAGCATAAAAATGCTTTAATAAAATTATTTAAAAAGATCACATAACAAAAGCTCTGTAAATGTTACACCAAATCCTTTATTTGTATATATCTTGCTGAACCTAAGCCCATATTGTATCCTTACTTAATGGGACTTCCTGCTTTTAGTTTATGGGCTGAGATCAACAAAATATTTTGCACTACAACCAGGGATGCTGTGCCTTTTTCTGCGTCATTATAGCTAATAAATACAAGAAGACACGTCTATCTTTATATGTAAGATGTGAACAAATACTTTTTATTGATAGCAAATAAATTAATAAATATGGCATGTTTTCTGCATTAAATTAATAGATCAGTACATTCCATGAGCTTTATTTACTCTATATGAAACACATGAATAATCTGGTTGCCCAATATTTCTCCTTATAAGACCCTACTTTCACTTGATTATAATTGCCTCAAACTGTTAATTTCTTGAGCTGAAATTTTCTGTGTAGGGTGTAGAGTGTCCGCCACTGGATGGATGGATGGATGGATGGATTCATTCATTCATTTAATTAAAAAACAGTTCAGCTATTTCTAGGAACAAACATGGTTGGACACATGCATTGGATTGTTCATATTAAGAACATCTTTGGGCCTTTGACATGCATAGGGCCGACACTTCAGAGCAGGAAGGTGGCTATTGTGTCAGGGATATATTTTTTCCCATTCCCATGACAAGCTATCTTTGCCAAAAGTATGAGTAAGGGTTTACCCAGGGAGGTGGCCAACTGATTTCATGGAGAGATTGTGGAGCCAGCCACCATTTTCATGGACTGATTGAGGGCTCTGCCCCCCCACCCTCCCCAGCCAATCAGCAGTGACGGACAGGGGCAGCAGCCATTTGGGTTCCCCTTTGTGCTGGTAGTTCCCTCTGCCTCCTTTCCCCTATGGTGGTCTGCACGGCTGGGCTGCAGCACTTTGAGGACTGCTGGCTCCCTCTGGGAGCCAGCATTTTATTTTCAGTAAGTTTTCTTTTTTTTCGTGTATTTTGCAGACATTTCTTGCTTTCATGATTTCCATGAAATCACAATTTCAGTAGATCCCTGCATATGTAAAAAATATCACGTTGCATGTATTCAGACAGTTGTTGAGACTTATGTGTAGGAATGGTAATGATCAATTAAACATAGGCTGGAGGAGTTGGAACAGAAAGTGTCAGTGTTGTGGATATGGACGGAAGAGCATGCTTCCCTTTAGAATCTGGACTGAAACCTAAGATTCCCAAGTCTGACCATTCTTCTGCTGTTAGCAAGTATTTTTGAAACCTACTGGCAGTGTATGTTTTTATCACCCTCTAGTTACAGTCTTTATGGAGAATGACAGCCTAATATTGCTGTTAGTTACT